TAATACATAAGGGGGGATATGATCTCCATGTATAATACATAAGGGGGATATGATCTCCATGTATAAATACATCAGTGGTTCATATAGTGAACTCGGTGTAGAGCTATTCACCCTGAGGTCATCACAGAGGACAAGGAGACACTCTTTATATCTGGAGGAAAAGAAATTTAATCTTTAAACACGGAAAGGTTTCTTCACAGTGAGAGCTGTGAAAATGTGGAATAGACTCCCTCAAGAGTTGGTTCTGGCCAGCTCAGTGGATTGCTTTAAAAAAGCCCTGGATTCTTTCCTAGATACACAGAATATAACTGGATACTAACATTTATAGGTAAAGTTGATCCAGGGAATATCTGATTGCCTCTCAGGGGATCAGGAAGGAATTTGTTACCCCAGCAGGAGCAAATTGGATCATGCTTTGTTAGGTTTTTTTTTGCCTTCCTCTGGATGAACTGTGGGTATAGGATTATAACTTTTTTTTTTCTATGGTTGAACTGGATGGACTTTTGTCTTCTTTTAGGCCAGACTAACTATGTAACTATGTAATGAGGTGACTTTAGAAAAAATACTGAAGTGGAAACTCTCAGTTTCACTTATTCTCTTTATGTGAAATTTGTGAAAAAATACTTTATTTCCTTTTATTTAGTTTTTTGGGGAGCTGAATTTAAGGTAGTTTTAGATTATTTCCTTTCTAGTGTTTTTGTATTTTGTTTCTGTGTATATTGTAATTTGTCTGTTGTTTATCTTTGTTTACACTCCTTTTTTTCTTTTTACAAAAAAAACCCATAAAACAATTAAGTTAAAAATTATTTTGAACATCCTTAATCCCCAGAAACCATATAAAGCCCACTTCTCCCTTAAAAAAAACGCAAAGAACTACCTTCATTTTGCCTTCCACTATTGACCACTCTATTAAATACATTTAGCCAAAATGCCAATATTTTTGCAGGAATTTCCTGATTTGTAATACAATTTTGGGAAATAAAAGCACTCGATCACAAATAACCAGAAGCTCAGTCACAATGAGTGCACCTGGTTTTGTAAGCTGTTTTTGCTTCAATTTAAAACGCAATAAATGCCAAACTTGGGAAAACTAAGCAATCTGGATTTAAAACGTTGCAAATAATTTTTCATGAAAAGTGAATAAATGGACGTTAGGACAGATATTATTTATCTTTCTAAGTATATAACTACACAAACCAGGATATAAAAATAATAAGAAGCCTATTTAGCAAAAATAATGCAGTTTATTATATCATATTGGATTTAAAGCTATAATAATTCAATAGTCATGAATTAGAAATAACAGATTTTTAAGGAAAAACAATCATATTTGTTTAGCTATTAATTCATTAAATTAAAAGGACTAGTGTCTCCCATTGCTTTCACAGTCCAAGATTCACAGTAGGATCTTGGGACAGACTGAACTCTGGTCTTTTTGACCTGTTCTTTACTCAGGTAACCACTGTAGGTGTTATGCACAGTATGTACAGTATTTCTTCTGTTCTTTAATGTAGAAAAAGAATAAGAATATTCTTTAAAAAGAAAAAAAAGGACTAGTGTACTATTTCTTATTTACTATTACTTATTCTAATGCTCACATTTATATTATAAAGTGCTTTGTCATTTTTTATTTTTTTATAATGTGAATGAAGCAATTACAATTATTAAAAACTTTTAATATTTCTCAATTTTTTTCTGTGACATTCTAAAGCAAATCACTGTGGGATTTTTTTCAGAAATGTGGTCACTTCATACTAAAAACATCTGGAACCGAACAGCGGAGAATGGAGATTTCAGAGACGGAATATCAAAATCCAATAAGTGTAATAAATCAATCTAATGTAACAATGACAAATATTTGGCAAAAGAATGTGCAAACTAAATTTTATTTTTATCCTTTCTTGATGTGCCTCAGCAGATGTAGAAGTGTGGTCAGGTAAAGTCAGGTAAAATAGTTCCTATATGTGAACTTCAACTATTGGAACTACTTTACTTGAGCTGTTTAGTTGGAGTTCTTCCTTAATTTAGTAGAATCTTCTCTGGGGTTGCTAATCTTCATGAGGCATTCTGTATCTACAGTGTTTTATTAGCGGGTGGATTTGGTCTGTTGGAAGGAGACATTCTACTATACGTGTTACTTTCAGATAATTTACTTGAGCCATTTCCAAAAGAATGAGGTGTCAGGGAAACGGGGAGGAATTAGTATTGTTTAGTCAGTGCAACTTTAGAGAACCTCCAAGGCAAAGTGGCATGACCAACAAATATATTTGCTGCATTTGACTTTGGGATATGGGGGTTCCTAATATCTCCTAACCCTGTGTTTCCCAGGTCAGCTATCTACCCAACATCGATATTTTAGTTATGGGAAGAAACTGGTTTGAAGGATCACATACTAGCCATTTAGATATCTCAGGTATTCTGGCAGTATGTTCTCAGTGCAGATTTTATCTTCGTGCTCCATGTGTCCAACATCATTCAACCTGGAAATAATGAGGGTATCCTGTAAATGCAGGATGCTATTGTAGACTAAGAACATACTGCGAATGCAGGGCATCAGAGGCATTATCACAATGCCCATCATTTGCATTATACATATTATCCAAAGAGACAATGATGTCATCACCTTTGCAATACTCTTAGCATCATTGAGGACCATCCCTTGCTGGGGCACATCAGTAGAAGAAGAGGACTCAGGGTTTAATGTGGAACAGGGTTCCAGAAGACACCTGAAAACGTTAAAGTAGAACTAAAGGCAAAACTTAGTTTTTTCATATTGGACAGAGTAAGTTTTTTTGCCATCTGTATCCATAGGGAAAATACCCCTGAGGACGTGCTGTCGCACAAAACGCCTTGGTAGCCTACATTGCTGATGACACACTGCCCCTACCGAGGAGCGGCGGCCATCTTGTTATTTGATCTTACTATTTATTTACTCCACATGGATGTTTTCTTACTACTGTGATTTAAACTCATCAATAAATACTGCACTATATAAGCACTTTCTGGCTCCTGTGGTTGAGCTGATTCCCCCCCAGGATTAGATGAAAGCTGCCCCAACTGACGGATGGAGGGAGCTGCAGGAGTAAATTCGGAGCTGTCATTACACCCCCAGATGTGTGATATAAACAGATGCACTGATTTACTTGCAGTCTGAGAGGAGGTGGAGGAAGTGGAAAGACCCTTGGAGGACAGAGGGAGAAATCCATCCATCCATATCACAAACAGGGATCAGCAAGCCTAAGAGACCTGCTGTGGGAAAATTGAATTATTACATCCAGCTGCCCATCTTTTCTGAAATACGGCCAAAGTTTGAAAATTACCCCACCTATCCGCAAAAGGACACAAAGCTGTTTTAGCCTTACTGCATGGTTGGGCTAAAAATAAGGTGAGCGCATAAAAAAGAAAGTTACATTTATTTTTATTTTTTATGACTACAATCACGGAGTGGACTTTTTGGATTGGACATTATTTTGGATTTTTTGAAATTTTGCACACTAAATATTTATTAATATATTTATTTATATTTGATATCATTTTAATTTTCATACCACTTTAAATAATTTTTGGATCATAAATATACACATATATATATATATTTTTTTATAATAATATCATTATTAGAGCACCTATTGCACTTTAAATATACCAAGGTTCACTTGTATATAAATTTTGTTTTTTCATGATAAATATTATTAATATTTAATTTTAACGGAGCGCGACACTAATTTAATATATATTTTTTACTAGAAAATATCACTTCACTTCCTGACCCATGACCAAAACAGGAAGCAAGAGGAAATCCCAATAAAGTTAGGGAATCCGTGGTGTCACCTGGTCACCAGAACTAATATCCTCATTGAAAGATTTTGTCTCTACTACCATTCTGATTCCATCCCAAAATTGGGATTTTCTTTTACTTTCACTTTTGATGACAACAGTAAATGGGACAAATAGGGTGAATCTCCCTAACGGAAGCCCAGCAATAGAAACCAGACAGGTGTTCTAATCCTTCTCCACTCTATCCAAAACTACAAAATGTTTTGCCTTTAAAGTAGACTTCAAATACTGGGGTTTATTTACTAAAGCTGGTTCACTCAGAATCTTGTGCACTTCTGTATGGAAACCAATCAGCTTACAGCTTTTATTGCTAAAGCTTATTTGAACAAGCTGAGGTTAGAAGCTGATTGGCTACCATGCACAGGTGCCCCAGATTCTGAATGAACTAGCTTTAGTAAATCTCCCCCTCAGTGTATTAGCCCCTTATGATGTCCTCCCCAGAATGCGCCTCGCATGCACCCCACATGTTGTGGCATGATCTGTCACCTGCTGTATCCAGTTGACACAGTGGATGACAAATCAGCGTATCGGCCTTCTGCTGGTACCATTTGACTGCTGTGCCCAATCACAGTAGATCACATGACAATTGTACACAATAGATGGGGTCCAATCATGCCATCTATTGTGTACTATTGTGTTGATCTCTGTGTCTGGTCACAGTGATCACATGGTACAGACAGGGCCAATCACAGGCCATCTGTACCATATGATTAGTTAGTAATTAGAAGGTAAACACTGAATTCATCGATTTCATTTAATAAAAATGGTTGTTTATAACATGATATTCACTGTTATAAGCAATTAGCGTGCAAAAAAAAAATCCTGATCACCTCCCTAGAGCAGTAGAGTTGTTCTGATCACAGTATGTAAAAAAAAATTGTAAAAAAAGAAAAAAATATATATTTTTTTACATAATGTCACCAGTCATAGTCCCTGATCACTACCATACCAATTACATGATGACACTGTACTGCATTGGTGACAGCATGTATTACAAACAAAAACAAATTGTGAAAAAAAACATTTTAAATTTCTTAATTTTCTTCAATTAAGCTTTAAGCAAAAATTACAACTTCAAAAAAACTCACCATGCTTCTTACTAAATACCTTAAAGTGATACTAAACCTAGGACCCTGCATCCACTATATCTGGTCTCCCCGGACCCTGCATCCACTATATCTGGTCTCCCCGGACCCTGCATCCACTATATCCGGTCTCCCCGGACCCTGCATTCACTATATCTGGTCTCCACAGACCCTGCATTCACTATATCTGGTCTCCCCGGACCCTGCATCCACTATATCTGGTCTCCCTGGACCCTGCATCCACTATATCCGGTCTCCCCGGACCCTACATTCACTATATCTGGTCTCCCCAGACCCTGCATTCACTATATCTGGTCTCCCCGGACCCTGCATCCACTATATCTGGTCTCCCCGGACCCTGCATTCACTATATCTGGTCTCCCAGGACCCTGTATCCACTATATCTGGTCTCCCCGGACCCTGCATCCACTATATCCGGTCTCCCCGGACCCTGCATTCACTATATCTGGTCTCCCCAGACCCTGCATTCACTATATCTGGTCTCCCCGGACCCTGCATCCACTATATCTGGTCTCCCCGGACCCTGCATCCACTATATCCGGTCTCCCCGGACCCTGCATTCACTATATCTGGTCTCCCCGGACCCTGCATTCACTATATCTGGTCTCCCCGGACCCTGCATTCACTATATCTGGTCTCCCCGGACCCTGCATTCACTATATCTGGTCTCCCACAGTACACACAACATGGAAATGCATTATTGTAGTAAATATAAACTGCTAAACACCTTTTCTCATCAGCAGTTAGAGCAGTCTTGTGACTTCAGCAGAGCACTGGTTAAAGCTTGTAGGAGGAGTTTTCTTTCTGCTCTAGGAGGATGTGAAACCTCTAAACCTCTGTCTGGACAGTGCTGATTGGCCCTGTGCTGATCTGATGCACCCTCCCAATAAAAATTGTGTACAATTGTCATTGTGATTGGGCACAGCGATCAAATGGTACCAGCAGAAGGTCGATACACTGATTTGTCATCCACTGTGTCAACTGGATACAGCAGGTGACAGATCATGCCACAACATGTGGGGTGTGTGCGAGGCGCATTCTGGGGAGAACGTCATAACGGGCTAATACACTGTGAGGGAGATTTACTAAAGCTAGTTCATTCAGAATCTGGTGCACCTGTGTATGGTAGCCAATCAGCTTCTAACCTCAGCTTGTTCAAATAAGCTTTAGCAATAAAAGCTGTAAGCTGATTGGTTTCCATGCAGAAGTGCACAAGATTCTGAGTGAACCAGCTTTAGTAAATAAACCCCAGTATTTGAAGTCTACTTTAAAGGCAAAACATTTTGTAGTTTTGGTTTCCATGCAGAAGTGCACAAGATACTAAATACAGTTTCTGTCTAGACAGAGCTTATTGTAACAGACTGGTAAATAAAAAGGTGATGATTTTTCTTTTTCTTAGGTTTTTGCAAGGTCTGCTGTGCAAGCCTAGATCTGTTTCTAAGTTATGGAAATATCTGATTGGATGAGGTAGGCCACACCTTAAATCACCAATACCACACCCAGATTAGTCAAGAAAACATCTATTTTTAGAGTCTACAGCATCTCCGAGTTAGGGGAAGTTGCCAAAAAATGGAAATACTTTCAAAAAGGTTTGTTTTCCTGAAGTACTAAGATCTATTTTTTCTCACTGCTGAAAAACAACCAAATGAAATAAGCACACAGTGTTACCCTTCAGTCCATGTGACTATTGGTAATCATTGGCTCGGCTGTCTGAACACCTTGTATGCTTTGAAAACTCATTCAAACACCTGAAAACTCTTTTTTAATATTGAAATTGTATAATTCCCAAGTATTCAGAAAGTCTCAAAAGGACTTGAGTGTTTATTATCTTCTCAATCTATTATCTGCCCTTTCCGACCTTTGGACACTTTTAATAGAGGTGTATTACAGTTGCAAGAAAAAGTATGTGAACCCCTTGGGATTACGTGGAGTTTTGCATGAATTGGGCATAAAATGTGCTCTGAACGTTATTTAAGTCACAACAATAGAAGAACACAGTCTGCTGAACATAATACTACATAAACATTAGATGATGCCATGGTTTAATTGCACATAACATGTAAACATTCACAGTGCAGGGAGGAAAAAGTATGTGAGGCCCTAGCTTAATGACTTCTCCCAGAGCTAATTGGAGCCAGGAGTGAGCCAACCTTGACTCCAATCAGTGTGATGATATTGGATGTGTTGCTGACAGCTGTCCTGCCCTTAACAAACACACACCTGTTTTGGGTTTACTGGTTTCAAGAAGCACTGTCTGATGTGAACCATGCCTCGCAGAAAAGAGCTCTCAGAAGACCTACGATCAAGAATTGTTGACTTGAATGAAGCTGGAAAGGGTTACAAAAGTATCTCCAAAAGCCTTGATGTTCATGTGTCCATGGTAAGACAGACTGTCTACAAATGGAGAAAGTTTAGCACTGTTGCTACTCTCCCTAGGCGTGGTCGTCCTGTAAAAATGACTGCAAGAGCACAGCGCAGAATGCTGCATGAGGTAAAGAAGAATCCCAGAGTGTCAGCTAAAGACCTACAGAAATCTCTGGCACATGCTAACATTTTTGTTGACACATCTACAATAAGGAAAACATTAAACAAGAATGGAGTACATGGGAGGACACCACGGAGGAAGCCATTGCTGTCCAAAAACAATATTGCAGCAAGTTTGAAGTTTGCAAAAGAGCGCCTGGATGTTCCACAGCACTACTGGCAAAATATACTGTGGACAGATGAAACCAAGATTGAGTTGTTTGGGAAGAACACACAACACTATGTGTGGAGAAAAAAAGGCACAGCACACCAACATCAAAACCTCATCCCCACTGTAAAACATGGCGGAGGGAGCATCATGGTTTGGGGCTGCTTTGCTGCCTCAGGGCCTGGACGGATTGTTGTTATTGATGGGAAAATGAATTCCGCCAACTGAAGCTCCGCAGAGGATGGGTGATGCAACAGGACAATGACCCAAAGCATACAAGTAATTCAACAACACAATGGCTGCAACACTACAGAATACGCCTTCTGGAGTGGCCCAGTCAGAGTCCTGACCTCAACCCGATTGAAATGCTGTGGCATGACCTTAAGAGAGCGATTCACACCAGACATCCCAAGAATATTGCTACACTGAAACAGTTTTGTGAAGAGGAGTGGTCCAAAATTACTCCAGATCGTTGTGCAGGTCTGCAACTACAGGAACGTTTGGTTGAGGTTATTGCTGCCAAAGGAGGGTCAACCAGTTATTAAGTCCAAAGGTTCACATACTTTTTCCTCCCTGCACTGTGAATGTTTACATGTTATGTACAATTAAACCACGGCAAGATCTAATGTTTGTGTAGTATTATGTTCAGCAGACTGTGTTCTTCTATTGTTGTGACTTAGATGACGTTCAGAGCACATTTTATGCCCAATTCATGCAAAACTCCATGTAATCCCAAGGGGTTCACATACTTTTTCTTGCAACTGTATATTCCTGATCTATCAACCATTTTTTTAATGCTGATTTACAAGAACATAAATACTACATTTCATAGCAGACATTTAGAGAGATGCCACTGCTCGAGGTCTGTATGAAAATCCCATCTCTGGAACTCTGGTTGTTGACCAAGGGGAGTCCAACTAAGCTCCATGAACCCAAAAGAAAAGCAGTAAGTTGCACACTGCTGATGTCCAATCACAGATCACATCCAGGTTTGATAAACCCAGACATAGCACCCTACAGCCCCACCTAGGACTGACACTGTCTAACATTTTACCCAATGGAGTTAAGTTACTAAAACTGGAGAGTGCAAAATCTGGTGAAGAAACCAGTCAGCGTCCAGGTTTTATTGTCAAAGCTTAAAGTGTTACTAAACCCCGGACGTTGCATTCACTATATCTGGTCACAGTACACAGTACCTGGAAAGGCAGTTATTTTAGAAAAATATAAACTGCTAAATACCTTTTCTCATCAACAGTATATAGCAGTCTTGTGACTTCTATAAGTATCAGGCTGAGCACTGGTTAATCTTGTAGGAGGAGTTTTTATTCTCCTATAACTGTCCTATGAGGCTGCATGACCCCTGACCCTCTCTCTGTACAGCGCTGATTGGCCCTGTGCTGATCACATGCACCCTCCCCCCCAAAAAAAAATAACTCTTTAGCAATACACCAAACAGAGCATGTGCAGACTTGCCACTGCTGCTCTGTTCTATGGCAGATAGATTGGGGACAGTAGAAGAATGGGAGGACCAGAGAAGACAGGATCAAACAGCCTTTTTACACAGTGTGGAGGATTAACCCCTCAGGTTAGTGAGTATAAGCATGCTTTACTGCATATACAGACTGATTTTACTGTTGTGGGTTTAGTAACACTTGAACAAGCTGGCTGGGATAAATCCATTTACGGTTATTCTATTGTTCTAAGCAAATCAAATCATAGTGGGTGAGATCTACTAAAACTGGAGAGTGCAGAATCTGGTGCAGCTCTGCATAGAAACCAATCAGCTTCCAGGTTTTATTATCAAAGCTTAATTGAAGAAGCTAAAGTTAGAAGCTGATTGACTACCATGCAGAGATGCACCAGATTTTGCACTCTCTAGTTTTAGTAAATTAACTCCAATATGTGCTTGATCAAGTCCATATTGGAGTAGACATTACAGAGGGGTTTGATCAAGCTCGTGTTGGGTGAAATGTTGGAGAGGGGTAATATTAAGTGGGGCTGTGCTATTTCCAGATTTAATAAAGTTGGATTTTATCTGTGATGATGTGCAGCCTGCTGTTTTTATGTTGACTACCCTTCCTAAATCACAAACAGTGATAGCCCACCCTCTCCTGATCCACCCAATTTATTTCACTGGAAAACACTCTTACCTAGTGGGTGAGGTAAAACAACACCACCCTCTGTCTTGTTAATGAGTTAAAGCCCTGGTGCTCAACCTGTGGCCCAAGGGCTGCATGTGGCCCATTGGTATATGATTTGCGGCCCTCGGACCTCATCAGTTTGTAGTGGGAACATTGATTAGGGTGTATTGATCTCTACTAACCTCATGTAACTTATTCCAAGTTTCATATTCTCTTTTGCAGCATATCCCAAGCCAGAAATGTAGCTCTCTGACCCGCATATCCACTATTTGGTCTACAGGTTCCAACAGTCCTCTTGAGTATTACATATATTGAAGATAATGTGTGGCCCTTTGGTGATGTCAGGGGCCACATTTGAGGCCCCTTTAGCTCATAGGTTGACAATGATTAAGTTAAAGGGTCATAGAGAAGACCATCTCCACTTTGAATTAACCGCCCTTCCCTCCTCTCCCCCACACCTCTCTGAGTCTCCCTCTAATTTTTTATACATACCTTATTTTCAAACATCTCCTGCATTGAACGACGTTCATGCAATGAATGGTATCACTGA